TCAAATTACCCAACAAGAGCTTGCGACAACTTTAAATTGTTCACAAAAAACACTTTCCAATCAATTGCGTGCACTTGGCAAAGTCCAAAAGTTTGGAAAATGGGTTCCTCATGAGTTGACCGACAACAACTGTAATCAAAGAGTCACAATTTGCAGTTCGCTCCTCTCTCGTCAAAACCGTTTGCCGTTTTTAGAGCAAATTGTTACCGGAGATGAAAAATGGGTGCTGTATGTTCATTTGAAAAGGCGGCCTCAATGGTTGGACAAAAATGAGGCTCCGCAGCCCACGCCAAAACCTGACTTGCATGCGAAAAAAGCGATGTTGTGTGTTTGGTGGAATTTTAAAGGAATTCTTCATTATGAACTTTTACCATCTAACCAAACCATTACAAGTGCAGTGTATAGTGCCCAATTGGAAAGGTTAGCCCAAGCTTTAAGAAAAAAAGAACCCGCGCTGATTAATCGGAAGGGCGTAATTCTTCACCACGATAACGCACGACCGTATTCTGCAAGAATCACTGCTGAAAAACTGCACCAGTTGGAATGGGAAGTTCTCCCTCAACCTGCATATTCTCCTGATATTGCGCCTTCCAATTACCATTTGTTTTGTTCTTTGCAAAACTTTCTTCTTGGAAAAAAATTTAATAATGAAGAATGCCTCAAAAATGCATTGACCGAATTTTTTGCATCAAAATCACAAGAATTTTACAACAGAGGGATTAAAATGCTTCCTGAGCGTTGGGCACAAGTAGTAGAAAACAATGGCAACTATATTGTTGATTAAATTTTGTTGTATTGTTTAAATAAATTCGATTTTAAAAAGTATTAGAAAACGACATTAATTATTACTAGACCTAATACATGCCCTTGACCGGAATCGAACCCGGGACCTCTCAGTCCCCAAGCCGACGCTCTATCCATTGAGCCAAACCGGTTTCGGCTCATCGATGTTTTTAACTCTCTATCCCTTTCCCTTCCTCTCTGTAAAAAATCAATAAAATATATATTTTTTTAAAAAAGAATTTCCTGCCGGAACTGGTTTGGCTCAATGGATAGAGCGTCGGCTTGGGGACTGAAGGGCTCCGGGTTCAATTCCGGTCAAGGGCATGTACCTTGGTTGCGGGCATATCCCCAGTAGGGGGTGTGCAAGAGGCAGCTGATCGATGATTCTCTCTCATTGATTTTTCTAACTCTCTCCCTTCCTCTCTGTACAAAAATCAATAAAATATATTAAAAAAAAAAAAAAAAGAATTTCCTAGAAAAGGCCAACAAATTTAACGAGACCCTTGAGGATATGAAAAAGGACCAACTAGAAATTAAACATACACTGACTGAAATTAAAAAAAATATTATACAGAGACCCAACAGCAGACTAGAGGAATGAAAGAATCAAGTCAAAGATTTGAAATACAAAGAAGCAAAAAACACTCAACCGGGAAAGCAAAAAGAAAAAAAAGAATCCAAAAATTTGAAGATAGCCTTAACCAGTTTGACTCAGTAACTAGAGTGTTGGCCTTTGGACTGAAAGGACCAAAGTTCGATTCCGGTGAAGGGTATGTAGCTTGGGTGTGGGCACATCCCCAGTAGGAGGTTTGCAGAGATAATTCTTTCTCATCGACATTTCTAGCTCTCTATCCCTCTTCCTTCCTCTCTGTAAAAATCAATAAAATATATTTATAAAAAAAAATAATAAAATATATTTAAAAACAAACAAACAAACAAACAAAAACACAAACATTTGAAGATAGTGTAAGAAACCTCTGGGACAACTTCAAGCGTACCAACATCAGAATTATGGAGGTGCTAGAAGAAAAGAGAGAGCAAGATACTGAAAAACTATTTGAAGAAATAGTGACCAAAAACTTCCCCCACCTGGTGAAAAAAGTAGACTTACAAGTCCAGGAAGTGCACAGAACCCCAAACAAAAGGAACCCAAAGAGGACTACACCAAGATACATCATAATTAAAATACCAAGAGCAAAAGACAGAGAGAGAATATGAAAAGCAGCAAGAGAAAAACAGTTAGTTACCTATAAAGGAGCACCCATACAACTGTCAATTGATTTTTCAACAAAACTATGCAGGTCAGAAGGGAGTGGCAAGAAATATTCAAAGTGATGAATAGCAAGAACCTACAACCAAGATTACTCCACAAAGTTATCATTCAGAATTGAAGGTCAAGTAAAGAGCTTCACAGATAAGAAAAAGCTAAAGGAGTTCATCACCACCAATCCAATATTATATGAAATGCTGTAAGGTATTCTTTAAGAAATGGAAGAAAAGAAAAAGGTAAAGATAAAAATTATGAACAACAAATACATATCTATCAACAAGTAAATCTAAAGATAAAGTGAATTAAAATTCTGATGAATAGAATAAACTGGTGAATATAATAGAATCAGGGGCATAGAATGGGAGTGGATTGATCATCTCAGGAGGAAAGGGGTAAGGAGGGTACAGGAAGAGACTGGACAAAAATTGTACACCTATGGATGAGGACAGTGCGGGGAGGTAAGGGCAGAGGGTGGCGTGGGAACTGGGTGGAGGGGAGCTATGGAGGTCGGGAGAGAAGGAGAAATAATTGTAATAATCTGAACAATAACGATTTATTAAATTTAAAAAAATCAGAAAATAAAAACACAGCAGTTTTTTCTCACCTTGCTGGCTGGCCTTGAATAATCTGAATTTTATTTCATTATGGGAGGTTGCATTTCCTTAGGATCTTTTTATAGATTTCAAGTTAGAGACAAACCCAACTGGAGGCTCTCCTCTACTTCCCCATCCCAAAAAAGTACCTGGGAGGAGGAAAACAGTAAGAGCCCAGCCTGAGATACAAATCAAGGGAAAATGGATATGGTAGGTTTTAGGCAGAAAGCAGAGGTAGGAAATCTGAGCTACTTTGGCCTTAATGGTGCTTTTAAAACAAGAGGAACAGTTGATCAGTGTTATTGTATTCTATTATCTTAGTTTGTGTAATCTGCAAACTGTTCATTTCCCTTCTTTATCTAATTAATTGATTACAATGTTGACAGATCTCTAGTATTCTACACTAGATGAACTCAGTTTTGACTCCACCTAATTTAAATAATCTCAAACCTCATACTATTCCACTCTTCCCGCACCCCCTCCCCCAACCCTTGGGGGCTTGGGGCCAGTACTAAGCCAAGGCCAGTCAGAACACAGTGATCATATCCAGTCCACAGCACCTTTCATTTTATTGTTTTATTTACAAACAGGGTGAAATCAACAGGGAATATCAGGAATAGGGGGTCAGTCTGGGCCATCCAAATGTGGAGTGGTTCCTAGGTCAATCTCCACTATGAAGGCGGCCGCTTCTATCCTTTGCCTGCTCCTTGGTTCCTCAGGGCAGTCTCACTAGCTGCTCCTGAGCCCTTCAATAAGGGCAGATGGATCCTGGGGGAACAGGGGTGGTACGAGGGCTGGGCCCCCTCAGTTTGTATAAACCTGAGTTCCGATCACACGCATGATTTCCTTCTGTATCTTGGGGTCCTGAGTATTAATGTTGGCATCGCCCACCTGACCATCCTCATATCTGCCAAAGATAGGGCAAGTGTGAGCATAAGAGAGAGAACAATACTAGAAATAATGTCATCCAGGGGAACTGTATTTGGAGGTGTACCATTCTATAAATATAAACACTTTCTTAGTTCTTCTTAGGGTGGAAGAGATTCAACTTACCTGGTTTCCTCTAAACAGACCCTGATATATAGGCATCCCCAACCTCCAAGGGGAAAGTCCCAGTGCCAGCTGCACTCAGGTAGCCAGGGACAAGTAGTCACATGCCAGTACACCCCCACCCTCACTTCTCAGAGTAATCCCCTAGGTACCCTCCTAGACTTACACAAAGAAGAACCGTGTGCAGACATGGTCGGACACAGGGCACACCCAGATGTTCCCATGCTTCTGGAGGTCTTTAGATGTAATGACTGAGAAGAGGGGCAGATATATATATATAATGCTTAGGTCAGAGTCCAGGCAGGGAAGGGAAAATATGATGCTTTGACATCACCCTTGGCTGGATCATGTGCCATTAGTTGCACCAAAAAGAAAGGTTGGGCCCACTGGTGTGACTCAGTGGTTGAGCGTTGATCTATGAACCAGTAGGTCATGGTTCGATTCCCAGTCAGGGCACATGCCCAGGTTATGGCCTCAATCCCCAGTGTGGGACATGCAGGAGGCAGCCAATCCATGATTCTCTCTCATCATTTATGTTTCTTTCTTTTAAAAAAATATATTGATTTTTTACACAGAGGAAGGGAGAGAGATAATTAGAAACATTGATGAGAGAGAAACATCTATCAACTATCTACTGGGGATGTGCCTGCAACCAAGGTACATGCCCTTGACCGGAATCGAATCTGGGACCCTTGAGTCTGCAGGCCGATGCTCTATCCACTGAGCTAAACCGGTTTCGCCTCATCATTTATGTTTCTATCTCTCTCCCTCTCCCTTCCTCTCTGAAATCAATAAAAATATAAAGTGTATATATACTAGGTTGGGGACCTAGAAAAACAGGGACTGGTTGAGCTACTTACCTTCACAAAGTGCTATACAGTTTAGATTCCGACTCTGCAGGAACCTTGACTGAATCGATCGGGTCTGGAAGAGAAAGAGAACAGGGCCCAGATAGACTGTTATAGAGGCTGGTTTGTTGATGATGGGTAGGATCAGGGATATCCTGGGCTTCCAGCCACTCCTTCCCCTCCGCAAAAATAATACCAGTGTGGATGAGCCCACAGCTTCCATCTTTACAATTACATGTCACTGCATTTTTTTCATAAACTCAGTCTCTGTTTTCAGTTATGACTAAAGCCACTTATGACTGGAAGCATGTTCATCTTAGAATGTACCTGATTCCTTCAAATTACCCACCACCCCACCATTGTTTTCCCATCCATCTCTGTAACCAAAACTTATCCCAGGAGAAGTGTACTGACTCACTGGAGCAGGGCCAAGTATTAATACCTGGGGAATAGTATTCATCCTGTTATATCTCTGGACCAGCTCATCTTTGGAAGGCATCCTGTGCTGTCCTTTTCCCATTCCTGTCATAAAACAACAAAACCAGTTCATTCACCCATTCCTTGATCAAACATTTACTCAAGTGCCTACTGTCAGGCACTGTGCCAGACACTTGGCAATACAGCAGTGAAAAAACAAACAGGACATCTTTCCTCACAAAATTTAGTCTGGTGGAGAGTACAGGCAAAGAAAAGGTAATTACAAAACAATATGCTAAGTGTTGTGCTGGGGACAATAGAGAGCACTGTGTAAATCAGAGGCAGAGAAGGAACCTAGCCTAGAGGTCTGAAGAAGGCTTCCTGGTGATAGCTAGGGTGAGAACTCTAGGATGAGGAATTTATATGAAGAGGGGGCAATGTTCTGGGCAGAGGTAATAAGCGAGAAACATCTATAGAAGGTCTGGAGTGAAAAAATCAGTATGCCTTAGTTTGTACCGAGTATAGCCAATGGCAGAGGAGTGGCAAGAGATGATGTCTAAGAGGTGAGCTAGGATCAGTTTAAGCGGGCCTTGTAGCCATGTAAGGCAACTAGAGTTCATCCTGAGAACATCAGGGAATCACTGAAGGGTTCTGATAGGGGAGTAACACATGAAATGAGAGGAATGAGGTGCCCAAGTCAGTGGTGACATCAGCACTTCAGATCAAATGTCAGGCTGAGTGAAATGAGTAGAGAGGAGGCAAGCAGAGCAAGTCCAATCTGTTTTAGTCTCAAAGTTACATAAAATACTGTGACCAGAGTATTTCAAGAGAAAAGGGTGAAAGCATAGCAGTTAAGGGATAACTAATTTTCCATATAATCACAATGGCAAAAAACTTGAAGAATCATGCTTCCTTCAGAAAGTCCCCACACTTTAGGAAGTGGTGCCAATTTACTCGTTTCTACCCTATCTAAATCCATAAATCATTCACCATCCTTACCTACTAATGAGTAGTCCTGTTTATAACCATTTATAGACTCATTTTTTATTTTTTTTTAGATACAAAACAGTGCTGGGTGCTCCTGCTCCCAACTCTTCTTGCCTGTGATTAGGACTTCAATCTCTATGCTCAGCTTTAGCGCAGGTAGCCTTATCAGACTCTCATTTATGTGTGTGTGTGTGTGTGTGTGTGTGTGTGTGTGTATGAGACTAAGAGGAAGATGCAGAATGATGCTATCATTACAGGTCATAAGCAGGGCCCTTATCAACCATTCCACCTGGAATTTTCTATTATTACTAACACCACTCTGCTTCAAGACTTCAACTGCTAATTTATTCCTCCTACAGACACTCACCACCATTTCCACCTTCTGCATTAGCCTGAACTAGGTTTAGCTCTGCATCTAAACATGACTTCTTAGCCTTGGTATTTCAGTACAAGATTCTGAGTGTAATTCTCATTTAGGTTATACCTCAGAGCACTGGTTGGCAAACCACAGCTCGTGAGCAACATGCAGCTCTTTGGTCCCTTGAGTGTGGCTCTTCCAAAAAAATACCACGTGCAGGCACACACGTACAGTGCTATTGAAACTTCATGACCCATGTGCAGTAAGTCAGTTTTCAGCTCTCAAAAAAAAAAAAAAATGTCAATCGTTGTACTGTTGATATTTAGCTCTGTTGACTAATGAGTTTGGCAACCACTGCCCCAGAGGATAGAAAAGAACAATCTGATTTCTATGGCTGTTCTTAGAGATAGTACTTATAATATAAATCCTGTTCCATCCCAATTCTGTTGCACACAGTACTGTTCACACTGCACCAGTTATCTTCAGTCAGTTTCTCAAGAACAGACTTTAAGAACATAATCCCTGGATGTTCTGTGTCTGGCATATATACTTATTCCAAGTCTCTAAACAGGACTAAAGAGATGAAGTTTACCATCTCCTTTCTCACTGGTCCTAATTTTAATGTGCATATTCTGGCTAAGTCACTGGAGGCTCTGCTAGTCAAAAGGATGCTCTCTATACTGCTCCCATAAGGTACTCACTGGTGCTGGCTAAGGATCCTACCCTGAGAAAGAACAAATAAAAGCAGAGCAAAATAGGGTGGAAGGAAACATGCAGTAAGATAAAGTTAACCAAATTGTAGAGTTAACTACATGAAGTTGGACACTTGCATACATTCCACCTACTGTTATATAGGCTCAAATATCTATGGCGCCCTCATGGAGTCAGTCATTCAAGCAAAGCCTACCCTGTCAATCTAATGTAATGGTTAGAACACTGTCCCAAAGGTTAGGAGATCTGGATTCCTGTCTTAGCTCTGCTCCTCAGCTGTGTGACTCCAAAGTCACTTAATATCTCCAAGTTTCAGCATTCTTATCTAAATAATAATAGGGATTAGACAAGATTACCTACAACTACAATACTAAAATCCTATGGTATTTTGTATATATACTCAATTGACCTTCTTGAGAAGGATGGTATCATATGATGTTTTTAAGTAATCAGTAAAGTGATGAAGAAAGAGAAGTCGGTAAAGACCTGGCTCCATCTGATTACTAATAGCATTCAGGCACTTAGTGGTAAGCAAAGGCCAGCAACAGAGGGAGAGAATAGGGAGAAAATAGAAAGGAAGAAAGAATATTGTGGGCACTGAGAACCAGGAGAATTTTACTATTTTGGAAAATAATAAGAGCTTAATTAGAGGCAAGCTCAGGCTGTGATAAAGATAAAAATAGAGGAATTTAGACAAAGAAGCAAAAAAGAATACCCCAAACACATCCTACTTTAGACACCAGGCACACAGAATGAGATTCATGTACACATTTAACAAATACTTATTGGGCACTTAACCTGTGCAGATTAATCCTAATATTTGGATCATGACACACTGTCACATATTTAACTAGAGGCCCGGGAAGGTAGAGGTCCCTCAGCCCGGCCTGCGCCCTTTCGCAGCCTGGGCCAGCAGTCGGACATCCCGAGGAGTTCTTAGCATTGCTGCAGAGGCAAGAGACCCCCGCCATTGCTGCTGTGCTCGCCAGCCATGAGCTCAGCTTCTGGCTGAGTATTGTTCCCCCTGTGGGAGTGCACTGATCACCAGGGGGAAACTCCTGCATTGAGTATCTGCCCCCTGGTGGTCAGTGTGTGTTATCGCAGTCGGTTGTTCCACTATTCGATCGATTTGCATATTAACCTTTTGTTATATAGGATAGGACAATGAATATCTTCAGATCCAACCTAAGAACTAAATCTAACAACTAAAACACTACCAATGACTTACATCTATGTGCTGCTATCCTAACTCAACTACCTGCATTCCCTTTGGAAGGTAACCACCATCCTGAAATTTCTTTAATTTTATCACACACAGAAACATACACACACACACGCCTGTTTAATTTTATTTGCTTTTGAACATAAAAAAAAGGTATTATAGCATAGTCTTTTGGGCTTGCCTTTTCTCCCTCAGTTTATTACTAAGATCTTTCCATGATGTTGAATGCCACTGTTCATTCTCATTGCTGAAGAGTCAATCATGAGAATGTATTTAAATGTATGCATTCTCTTGATTTGGGATGTTTCCAAGACTGCTGTTGCAAACAATACTGCTTTGAACATTTTTGTACACATGTTTGGGTGCACATACACAGGAATGAAAATGCTGGGTCAATGGGATAAAATTTCTCAGTTTTAAATTATTACCAAATTTAACAACAAAGGGTCATACTAATATCCCATCTAGAGGCCTGGTGCATGACATTCATGCTCTGGGGAGGGAGATCTCCTCAGATTGGCCTGCATCCTTTTGGAGTATGGGAGCCCTTAGGAGATTTCTGACTGATAGCTTAGGCCCACTCCCCTCAGGGAGCCTAAACAGCAGTTGGATATCCTTAGTGCTGCTGTAAGCAGGCTGCTGTGTTCACCAGCTGCCAGCCTAGCTTGTGGCTGTGCAGCACTCCCCCTGAGAGAGCACACTGACCACCAGGGGGCAACCCCTGCATAGAGCGTCTGCCCCTCACTGTTCCGTGCACGTCATAGCAACCTGTCCTTCTGCAGTTTGGTCATTTGCATATGACCCTTTTATTATATAGGACAAGCAATATAAGAAATCGTGATGACCTATAACTCTGGTACAATCAGAAGTATTATCAGATTTCTTAATTTTTGCTAATCTATTTGGGTCCTAAAATGGTAAGTCGTTTGGTCTTGATTTTATTTACTTGATTAATAGTGGCTGAGCAGCTTTTCACGTTTTTTGGTAATTTCTTCAGTGATATACCTGTTCATGTCATCTTATTTTTTAAATCATTTCCATTTTCAATTATAATTGACATACATCTTTAGTTTCAGGTGTAAACCCCAGTGACCAGACATTACATAATTTAACTAGTTGATCACCCCAATAAATCCTAAACCCATCCAGCACCATACCTAGTTATTAGAATATAACTGACTATACTAAAGGCCTGGTGTACAAAAATTCATGAATGGTGGGGGGGAGGGGTTGTCCCTCACCCCAGCCTGCTCAGGAGCCCTCAGGGGATGTCCTACTGATGGCTTCGGCCCACTCCCTGTGCTGGCTTCCCTCTGTGGGAGGTGACCAGACCAATCAGGGGAAGATGCCACCCCCATCACCCCACTGCTGCTACCACTCCCTCCTCGGCCCTGGCAGCCACTGTGGCTTTGTCAGGAAGGACATCCAGTCTATCTGGTGTAATCAGCATGCTACCCTTTTTAGTATAGACCAGATGCCCAGTTTACAAAATTTGTGCATGGGGGATTGTCCCTCAGCCCAGCCTGCACCCTCTCCAATCTGGGACCCCTTGAGAGATGTCCTACTGCCCATTTAGGCCCAATACCGGTAGAATTGGGCCTAAACGGGCAGTCGGATATCCATCTCACAATCCAGGGCTGCTGGCTCACAACTGCTTGCCTGCCTTCCTTCCTGATTGCCCCTAATGACTGCCTGCCAGCCTGATCACCCCCTAACTGCCCTTCCCTTTAGGCCTGGTCACCCCTAACTGCCCTCCCCTGCAGGCTTGATTGCCCCCAACTGCCCTCCCCTGCTGGCCTGATCCCTCCAAATTGTCCTCCCCTGCTG